TAGTAGGTAGTAGTACCCCCTACCCCCCACCCCTACCTCTACTACTCTACCTACCTACTCTCTACTAACAACAACTACTACTAAACTAACTACCTACTCTCTCTCTCTCTCTCTCTCTCTCTCTCTCTCTCTCTAGTAACAAGCCCACCCCCCCCCCCCCCCACTTTGAAGCAAGCCCTCTTCCTGTCTCTTCAAAACCCAACCATAACCTCTCCTGTAAAGCAAACCGTCCTCCTCCTCCTCTGCAACTTCTCTCTCTAGGCCTGGAACGAACCCATTAAAATCCTCAAACATAACCCGTTTTCGCACCCTAAAATCAAAATTAAATCCGAACCCAAGACCACCATCGAAGAGCAGGAAGCAGGAAACTAAGCCCTCTTACTCTGCCATGGTCTGTGAAATTTGCATGGATCAGAAGTGACATTTTCAAAACCCTCTTGCTCTCTCACACCCACTGTAATGAGTGCACAACTAAGCATATAGCCTCAAAATTACAAGAGAGTTTCAGAGATAGAAAGTTGCATGCCCTTTGTTCCAAAAGAAGTTTTTGAGAGATGGAGTGGTGTGTTTTCAGAGGCCACCATATTGGGGAGAAATAAGTACTATTGCCCCTTTGAGGACTGTTCTGGGCTAATGGAATTTGATGAGGATGAAGATTGTAATATAAAGGAGTGTGAGTGCCCTTATTGTAAGTAAGATGCTGTTTTGTGCTAAGTGCAAGGTGCCATGGCATTCAGGGTGATGACATTTTGTTCACTAAGCTTGCAATGAGGAATAAGTGGACAGCTTGCCCTAACTGTTGAGTTTTATGTGGATAGGAAGTCTGGATGTGATCATATAACTTGCAGGTATGGATTTTTGCTTTTTTTCACCAAGCATTTTTGTGTTTCTCTCTTTTGTTTTTTCCATTTTTTAAAATAAATAAATAATTTTTTTTTTGTAGGGGTTTTCCTTTAGGAAAACATTTATGTGTTTCTCTCTTTTGTTTTTTCCATTTTTTAAAATAAATAAATAATTTTTTTTTTGTAGGGGTTTTCCTTTAGGAAAACATTTATATAAGGTTGAGGCCCTAAAGAATAAAATTAAGGCGCTCCTAAAAAATTCACTAGAAAAAATTGTTTCGATGCTGAAAAACCCTCAAATCCAGTCATCTTGACCTTTAGATGCATGGAAGTAAAAAAAAAAACCGACTTTAAATTTTGGAAATAGTGCATTTTGTAATGTATTATCCAGATCATCAATTTTCCAAGTATACATAGGTCTACTTGATCTACACTATTTTTGAAGTTTTAAAATTTAGAGTTACAAATGAAAATAGATTTTTAGATCATTATAAAGATTTTCGATGCTAAAATGATATCTATCGATACTATTTGAAGGTGCATCTTACTTTGATTGTTTAGAGCGTCAGCGTCATACAAACCATACCCTTTTATTTAATAAATTGTATTATGATTTCCATGATCGTTATTTTAATATTATTGGTTTTTCCTTTGTTTCACTTTTGGCAGGTGCATGTATGAATTTTGCTACCGATGTGGTTCCCCTTGGGAACTAATACACCCATATGCATATAGATCAGGTCATTGAAGAACTTTTAACTTCTAGGTTTTTTTCCTCTTTTTTTTTTTTTAATCATTGACCTTTTTCATCTTTTCTGGTGAGTTGCGTATTCTACGAAAATGATATGACATCAAGATAGAGAGCTTTGTATCCTGGTGTTTTCCATGTCGATGGATCTACAGGGTTTTATTGGGATATCATCGAGTGAGTCCTTTCTATATGGAAATTTATTGAAAAATTATCAAAAATCTAAAATATTAAACCATGTATGTTTATAAATAGGGATTGTATGCTACGAGTATTTATTTTATTTATAAGGTCACCGTTATTTTTAACCTTTGGATGTGAAATTTAATAAATGAAAGTGTGTCACAACATTCGAAAAATTTTGTTTCGGAGTTTAGATCTAACCAATAACACATCCTTAACCACCCGGTTACAAATCTAACATGATTGCGACCTCCTTATCTAAAAAAATAAATGGTCTGATTTTACACATTTCCCTATAAATATCCATAAGTTCATTTTCGATCTTTACAGATAGCTAAACATATCTATCCTTTGTTTGGCTTCCACATCCAAAACTCATGCACTAATCTCTTTTGGCCCATGCTTTCTTGGAAGGACGCAATTAGCATGTGGCCACGTCTGTATGTGTAGAAACGCGGGCTTGGCAATAAATCATCATCATAATTTTTTCCCAATTAATTGGGCGTTTGGCAATAAATATATTTTTTAATTATAATTTGATCCTAATTTTAAGAAAATATATAATTATTAACATGGAGATCATGAATATGAAAAAAAAAATTGAAAACCATAAGTAATAATTATATTAAAAAAGTATTTAGATCGTTAGTTACAATTATTTTTAGATGGACTACTTATTTGCATCCATCTTTAAGATGGATGCTTTATACCTCCGGACAACATTTTGTAGAAATGCGGTCCAGGCCGCATGAAAGATTTGTTCTTCTTGAAAGGCATGGAATAGGGTGTTAAAAGATTTCATGCTCCAGAGGGAGCATATTGTCCATTTACTCCCTTGCATAAAATCTAATCTACGAATAATTTTAGGCTACAGAAATTTAGGAATGCAAAGTCAACAACACAGACTAACCTCAGAAAAGGAAAATTCCAAATGACACTCTCTATAAACTTAAAAAATAAAAAAGCCTCAAAATTGAACCAAGACTGTCCAATTTTTGAGCGCAAGATCAAAGCATTAAAAAATTACAATTCCATTTTTTTAAAAATAATTATCAATTAAGTTTTTGGAAATGTATGCAATGAGACCTTTTACTTGATACAAGGAGGTTACAATTAGTTAGATGTGAAATGGGTTGGTTGAGGATGTGATATTGATTGGGCACAAAGCTCAAAATAAAATTTGTTGAAAGTAGTGATACACTTCAATCTATTGGATTTCATATCCAATGAGTACAAATTATTGTGCCTTTCTTGTACCAAAGATAAATGACCTCGTAGTATACAATCCCTTAAAAAAAAACGTGTCCTTTCATTGAATAATTGCTTATTGTTGGGGTGCCTTCTAAAAGTGCTGCACAATATAATGCGTAGGCTAAATTTAGTTGAAAACCTTCCTCACATTTCATGATAAAAGGACAGGAAAAGAAAATGATTGTTGAGATACATTTTAGCTCAATCTTTACACACTATTTTCATTATACCATCAACAAACAATAATATCTAGTTAAAAATTGCATTCAGATGGTAATAGTAATTCTATAGACAAAACTGAGTATTATCTTCACAGAAGTTGATTTTTCAAAACTGAGTATTATCTTCACAGAAGTTGATTTCTCAAAGTGTTTTTACTAACAAATTGCTACTAGTAAATTCAGAATTTCTTCATTCATTTTTCTTTCCCTTTCTTTATGTTAGGGCTCTAATATATCAATGTGCAGCTGAATTATCAGAAAATTGAAATAGATTATGTGCTGCGATAAAATTTAGAATGTGAAAACCGAATATTTACCTTTTTGGAATAACCCATGCAACTAGCAACTATCATCCACAACCTGTCCAGTTTTGGAAGGAAATATATACAATGAAACTATTTATCTTTTATATTTATTTTTTATATGTTGAGGTCACAAATATTATTGATTGTTGGATGTGAAATCGAGTGATATAGGATGTATCATTTATTGGGCACAATGTCCGAAATAAAATTTTTCAAATGTTATGGCATACTTCAATTGAATTTCAAATCCATTGGTAAAAATGATTGACTTTATAGCAAAAATAATACAATCCTTAGACAATTAATACGAGGTATCTTTTATGGATTTGTATCTTCCCTTTTCTTTAGCTTTTGTTTATGTTTTCCTTTTCATTTATTTTTTTTTTGGTGTAAATCCTCCTCACCGTACAGATTTTGAAGTAATCTTATTAATTTAATGTTGAAAAAAAGGAAAAGGCAATTTAAGATGCTCTTAGTACTACTTACTGGATGGAGAACACCAAATTGATATCATCCCCCAATTTGATCTCATCTGTCCTAAACGCTAGGACTAAGAAACAGGTTAGGTTGGCCCAACAACACATAAGTCTGCACAACCTGTGCCCCACCAGACATAGCCAGGTTGGGTTGGGTTAGGTCTGGGTCTGGTCACCCCTACAGTCTCATAGTGGACTACCTATATAGAAGTATCACAAACAGGTCACAAACAGCATGTCCATCACATTATCGGCTTGAATGTCGCTGGTTAAAGTGAGCCCCAACAACATGTCACTAACTCCTGGCACACTGAACTCCCACACAATCACAATCGATGCCCTACTACCTTACTGTGTTTCTAACATAACGTAAGGACCATCTCCAGTGTCTATTTCAATATATGCTAATGCCCTTAACTTTTTTATTTTTTTTTATTTTTAAGGCATACCATTGTCTCTTATAATGTCAATTTTATGATCACTTGTACCCAAGAAATGAGCAGAGCGTTCATGACTACCACTAATGTACGGGAATCACCGCGATCTGTTGCATCTTAAGAATGGTAATCTCCATGGAAATATCATTCATCAGTGGTACATAATAATTCGACACATTATCTGAAAATCTGCGGGAACGGCCATTAGAGATCAATAATTTGATTTATACAACAAATATTCATCAATGATCCCCAAATATGACTTTAATCACTTCATTGGATTTTCAAAAATGGCGTGCCTATACTGAGCAAAAAAATTGAGGCCCTCATCTCTCGCCTGCAATTCATCCGCATGAGAAAGCATGAGCCTCACAAGCACAACCAGCCTCTCTCTCCCCTCCCACCACCCAACACACCCACACATACAGACCCCATTTGTACCTGCACATGCAACTCATCGACATGAAAATCCAGTACCCACACAGGCATGCAACTCATAAAGATGAGGGCTCTCTCTCTCTCTCTGCAACAAAATGATCTACTTCCATACCGCTCATGCTCAACCCAAATGACAAGGCCTTAGTACAATTTTGTGCACTCCGGTGTCTGTGCTGACTCGCCAAGCTTCGGGAACAGGGCCTCGCGGTCGAGTGAGGTCTGCACTGATGCCACAACCCTAAGTAGCGACATCCAAATAAAAGGAGCACAAAAACACCCATAACCAAACACCATCAAAGCCCTCACCACCCCATCAGGGTAATATGGAAATGCCATCACGCCAAGAGCTCCCACGACAAGAAGCCATGGAGTGAGCAAGGCCAAGGCTGGTAATAAGAAGGCATTGGCCACCACTATGAGGAGAGAGGAAGAGCCAAGCAAGTAAAGGGACCATCCTAGAGCTGGGTGAATGGTTCGTGGTGCCAAGAAGAAGGGCACAATGTAGGAGGCCAGAACTGACCACATTGCTGCCGTTTTGAGGCCAGTATGGAGGAGAGAGAAATTCTTATCAGGGCGTCGGTAGCATAGTTTTGAGAAGGTGGGGCGGGCGAGGCGGGATACCCACATGGCAAGAAGATACATGGCAGATTGGATCAGCACCACTGGCACCTCAGTTCCATACCTGTTGTAGTAGATACTATCAGTAATGGATTTGCTCTCTCTCTCTCTCTTGCATGCACGGTCATGCGTGTACACTCACCCCACAAACACAAAAAAGCCAATATGGTTGTTACCGGGGATGGTTTGGATTGAGGCATTTCCTACCACCCCTAGGCATTGTTTAACAAAATGTACACCTTTATAATGTTGACTTTTTACTTGCAAACAAAAAAATACCGAAAAAATAAATCTATAAAATAGAAAGAAGAATCCCTCGGATAACTACAAAATGAAAAAATGGAACAAGGCGTGGCCAAACAAAACAAAAGACACCAGTGCGAAGACCCCAAAACGGGTATAAAGGAAGCAGAGAGTAGACAGACCATTGAAAGCAGGACTAATCAAACCACAGACAAGGTGTCAGTTTCAATAAGTCAACCTGGGAGACAGGACCCAGGCCGAACCTATCACACCATAAGAAAGATGGATGTTTCATAGACTTTACAGTGTTTCTGTGAAAGCATGTACATGAATACCGGATTATGAGGAATACTGCATTACGTGATCTTGACATCATCATAAGTAAATTTCCTATGTTCTAGATTCATGACTAGTTTTATGTTGAATGCCTACCTAACACAACCCACCCTTTTTACCCGGGTTGGGATAAGTTAAGGGAAAGTTTTAAGTCCTCATCTTGGACCAACACAAATATATAGGAAGCTACTACCTAACGCCTATGGACCTAGCATGTCCGTGGCGATCAAAAAACACGTGCAAACCGCCATGGACCACGCATCGTCTGTTGCGGCTCCGTTCAATAAACCATCACGAACATAGCATGTTCGTAGCAGAGCGAAACACTATTCAAAATCGCCTATAGGCGTTTTTTAAGAGTTTTCCATGTATATATATATATATATAGAGAGAGAGAGAATGATCTCATGCAATGGTTGTAAGTAGTATAATGCAACCACACATCTAAAAAACAATGTTTCTGGCATTTGTATGATCCCAAATTTTGCATACACATTCTCTTCATCCTCATAATCAATCTTACGAAAAAAGAAATTCAATTTGCACCCTAGATATGGTCAAAATTAGTACACTCCAACAATGAATCTTGACTGTCCACTTGGTGAATTTCAAAATCTAAGCCTTAACAAATTCAAAATCACTTTTTTCTTTTTTAGCATTATTAATCTAATAATAAAATGCTATACAAAAATTTTGGGAATAAAAGAATTCCTTCTGGCGCCTATATCTAACCATCTCACTAAAAATGACGGCTTATAGTAATTGGGCTAGAAAAATACTTTCTAAGACGTTTTTTCAAAAAAAAAAAAAATTGTGATTGTTCTTTAGAATGAAAAGAATGTAAATTTAAAAATTCGTGTCAAACAAACGTCTCTAACATGGATTTTGAAGATGGTTGCATTATACTATTATACAACGGTTGCATGAAATCATTCCTCTCTCTCTCTCTCTCTCTCTCTCTCTCTTATATATATATATAT